TTTGCAGGAGTTGTTTTCTTTCCAACATAGAGATAATAAACATTGTTGTGAAAATTTTACATTGTATTCACTGTTACTATGGTAATCATTAAAACAAAAATTGTCCATAAGAATAACATTGGAACTTTGAAGACCCATGGGGCGGAGCTCTAAGGTGATTGAACTCCATTTGTAACAACCCTCTGCTTTCTTCCATCCAGTTACTCTTCTATCCAATTTGCTAACTTATCTCCCACACCTATAGAGAGAATTTTTTACAAGCCTTTCTGAAAATCCAGATACACCAAATCTACACACTTATCCTCATCTACGTAATCAGTAACCTATTCAAAAAATGTCAAGGCAAGATTTTCCCTTAGTGAAACTACATTGACTATCCAATAAAATTCTAAAATTTGTTAAATGACTTTGCAAAGCATCTTTTATCAGACTTTCCAAAACTTTTCCCACAACTGATATAAGATTAATGGGTCTATAATTACTTGGACAATTTTTATCACCTTATTTGAAAAGAGGAGTTATATTAGCTAACTTCCAATCCTCTGGAACCTGCCCACTATGCAAGGAATGGCAAAAAAATAGTAGTACATGGCTCACATATTTAATCTTTAACCTCCTTCAAAACCATTGGGAAAATATTATCTGACCCAGGAACTTTATCGTTTTTTAAACTTCCCATTTTTTCTTAATCATCTCAGTCATTTTGTATAAAAACTGAAGAAAAAGCAAAATTTAATAACCAAGCCATCTCATAATCATCAGATACTAGCCTTCCTTTATCATCCTTCAAGGGTCCTACCCACATCTTAACGTTTTGTGTACCCTTAATATATTTAAATAAATCCTTACTGTTAATGTTTACATTTTCAGCCAACCTGTTCTCATGTGTACTTTTGATGTCCTAATTTCCTTTTTCACCGACTTTCTTGATCTTCTATAATCTTCTAAATGTCTTGTCATACCAGTTAATTTAAATTTCTTAAATGTATGATGCTTTTCTTTCATTTTATCTCTCAAACTCTTTGTGAGCCAACTTGGTTTTTTACTTGCAGCTACCCTTTTCTTTCTATAAGGAGCATGTTTACTTAAATATTTAAAAATTATCCACATCTGATTAGTGTCTCCACATAACTCCGCTGCCCAATTCATAACAGATAATTCTTGTTGCATCCCTTCAAAATTTGCTTTTTTGAAATTGGTAACCAAAATATCATTATTCCTTATCTCCATATGCAGCAAAACATCAAACCTAATAGAGCAATGGTCACTTGCACCCAAATGTTCCTCAATTTTCACCCTCTCAATCATTTCTGTATTTGAAGTTAACAGTAAGTCTAAAATAGATTGTTTCTAGTTGGTTCCTGGTGAAGAAAGCCACACTGAACAGTTTCCAAAAACCTTTCTCCCTCATGGTTTGATTCTAGAATTTCCCAATCTACATGCATGAAATTAAAATCACCCATAATTAAGACTTCATTAACATCTGAAATCTTAATCTCATTGTAACGTTTCTCACTAATTTCATCAGTATCATTTGGTGGTCTCTAACAAATTCCCACTAAAAGCCTTTTCCATTTATATCCACCAATAGAAACTCAAATGTATTCAATCTCTTAGCTATTATCTTTGATATCCTCAACTTCAACATAATTTAACTAGCATTTGACATATAAAGCCACTCCTCCTCCCCTCTTTAATACTCTATCCCTATTAAATAGCCTGTAGCCCTGTATTTCAAAGATATTTCTGTCAACAAAATCATCTACGTTTAAACATGTTTCAGTCATTCCCATTATATCAAAATCCTGCATTCCTACCAGTGCTCCAAAGTCATCTATGTTATTTCTTATATTTCTAGCATTACAATAGTAACAATTAAGCCTATCCTTATAACTACTATACTCATTTCCTGTGCTAAACTTTTCTGTGCCTCTCTCTAGTCCTAGTTTAAAACTTCCCATAACAGCTAAATTAATAGACTTATCAAACAAGCCAGCCCCTACCTTATTTAAATATAAACCATCCATTCCAAAAAGCTCCCTTCTTCCACTGAAATGATCCCACATGTCCAACCGGCCAATCATCCTTACACGTTAACCTAAGCCTGGCATTTAGCCCTAGTGACCTATTTATAACTTTATCCTCACAATTAGTTCTGGACAGTATTCCTGACAAAATTAAGTTATGGCCTTTTTCATTAAATGTCTTTATCAACCCATTGTACTTATTAATTAGCTCTTCTGACCTACCTTTTCCAACATCATTAGCACCACAAAAACTACACTCTGCTAGCCCCCTTTATGATATCCTCCACCTGTGCTCCTGGATAGCATAATCTGATTTTTTTCTCCCTATTTACCCCACAAACTATCTTATTCACATGCCTTGTCAAGGAATGACCTATAACTATAACCTCCTTATCATCCACATCCTTCCCTAACCCTTTTGTTATCCCTCTCTCTATCAGTTCCTTGTCTGTAGAAGTCAAAGGCTGAAATTTGTTGCTCAATATAAAATGGCTCATTACAATTAATTTCACCACTAATAGTGCTCTTTCTAACTCCCTGAAAACCATTGTTAGCTGATGTATTCCTTGCATATAAAAGCTTAAGCTCCTCTTGAAAACCTGCTGCCATTTCCCAGTCTACACTTTTCTTCATCTATTGCCTCTACTTTAATTAGAATAGCCTCCAACTTCTCCTCCAATCTACAAATTCTACATAAAAATTGCACACCTTCCTTAAAAGTACATTCCAGGCTCAAGTTCCCAAATAAAACCTCTATTTCAGAAACTATGGCATCTGAGGCTGTCTCTACAGGCGAAGAATCGTAATCAGGGGCAAAGGCAAAAATCTATAAAGAGGTGCTTCTTTTGGATGAAAAAAGAAATGTTTTACAAAATCATAGTGGGGGTGATCAAAAGCATGCTCTCTGTGAATGTTTTGTAATTTCCACTGAAAATGGTGCATTTTAATGGCATCTGAGGCTGTCTCTACAGGCGAAGAATCGTAATCAGGGGCAAAGGCAAAAATCTATAAAGAGGTGCTTCTTTTGGATGAAAAAAGA